TCTTTTGGGATTTTTTCGAATTCTCTGCAATTCTCTAGGATACTAAAATATGTTAATTAGTTTTAGGATTATTTGGAATTTTTCCGGATTCCCTTGAATTATTTCTATTTCTTTCGGATTTTTTCGAATTCTCTGCAATTCTCTATGATGCTAAAATATGTTATTAGTTTTAGGATTCCTTGGAAATTTCTCGGATTCTGTTGTATTCTTTTCGTGTTATTTTAGAATTAGTCGGATTTTCTCTGATTCTTTCGGATTCCGTAGGATTTTCTCGGATTCTTTGGAATTTTTCCGGATTCGCTTCGATTCTTTCGATTTCTTTCGAATTCTTCCAGATTTTCTTGGATTCACTCGAATTCTTTCGGATTTTTTCGAATTCTCTGGAATTCTCCAGGATGCTAAAATATGTTAATTAGTTTTAGGATTCTTTGGAATTTTCTGGGATTCCTTCGTATTCTATTGATTTTTCTCGAACTCTCTTAGATTCTTACGAAACTTCTTCGGTTCTTTGGATTTATCGGATTCATTCGGATTCTGTTGTATTCTTTTCGTGTTATTTCAGAATTTGTCGGATTTTCTTGGATTCTTTGGAATTTTTCCGGATTCCCTTCGATTCTTTCGATTTCTTTCGAATTCTTCCAGATTCTCTTAGATTCACTCGAATTCATTCGGATTTTTTCGAATTCTCTGGAATTCTGTAGGATGCTGAAATATGTTAATTAGTTTTAGGATTCTTTGGAATTTTCTCGGATTCCTTCGTATTCTATCGACTTTTCTCGAATTCTTTCGGATTCTGTTGTATTTTTTTCGTGTTATTTCAGAATTTGTCGGATTTTCTTGAATTCTTTCGGATTCTATAGGATTTTCTCTGATTCTTTCGGATTCTTTGGAATTTTTCCGCATTCCCGTGGATTCTATCGATTTCTTCCAGATTCTCTTGGATTCACTCGAATTCTTTTGCATTTTTTCGAATTCTCTGGAATTCTCTAGGATGCTAAAATATGTTAATTAGCTTTAGGATTCTTTGGAATTTTCTCGAATTCCTTCGTATTCTATCGACTTTTCTCGAATTCTCTTAAATTCTTACGAAACTTCTTCGGTTCTTTGGATTTCTGGGATCGTTCGGATTCTGTTGTATTTTTGTTCGTGTTATTTCAGAATTTGTCGGATTTTCTCGGATTCTTTGGAATTTTTCCGGATTCCCTTGGATTTTTTCGATTTCTTTCGAATTCTTCCAGATTCTCTTAGATTCACTCGAATTCTTTCAGATTTTTTCGAATTCTCTGCAATTCTCTAGGATGCTGAAATATGTTAATTAGTTTTAGGATTCTTTGGAATTTTCTCGGATTCCTTCGTATTATATCGAGTTTTCTCGAATTCACTTAGATTCTTCCGAAACTTCTTCGGTTCTTTAGATTTCGGGGATTCTTTCGGATTTTGTTGCATTCTTTTCGTGTTATTTCAGAATTTGTAGGATTTTCTCGAATTCTTTCGGATCCTATAGCATTTTCTCTGATTCTTTCGGATTCTTTGGAATTTTTCCGGATTCCCGTGGATTCTTTCGATTTGTTCCAGATTCTCTTGGATTCACTCGAATTCTTTCGGATTTTTTCGAATTCTCTGAAATTCTCTAGGATGCTAAAATATATTAATTAGTTTCAGGATTCTTTGGAAATTTCTCGGATTCTTTCGTATTCTATCGACTTTTCTCGAATTCTCTTAGATTCTTACGAAACTTCTTCGGTTTTTTGGATTTCTCGAATTCATTCGGATTCTGTTGTATTTTTTTCGTGTTATTTCAGAATTTGTCGGATTTTCTCGGATTCTTTGGAATTTTTCCGGATTCCCTTGGATTCTTTCGATTTCTTTCGAATTCTTCCAGATTCTCTTAGATTCACTCGAATTCTTTCAGATTTTTTCGAATTCTCTGGAATTCTTTAGGATGCTAAAATATGTTAGTTTTAGGATTCTTTGGAAATTTCTCGGATTCCTTCGTATTCTATCGACTTTTCTCGAATTTTCTTAGATTCTTCCGAAACTTCTTCGGTTCTTTGGCATCCTCGGATTCATTCGGATTCTGTTGTATTCTTTTCGTGTTATTTCAGAATTTGTCGGATTTTCTCGAATTCTTTGGAATTTTTCCAGATTCCCTTGGATTCTTTCGAATTCTTCCAGATTCTCTTGGATTCACTCGAATTCTTTCGAATTCTCTGGAATTCTCTAGGATGCGAAAATATGTTAATTAGTTTTAGGACTCTTTGCAAATTTCTCGGATTCCTTCGTATTATATCGAGTTTTCTCGAATTCTCTTAGATTCTTCCGAAACTTCTTCGGTTCTTTAGATTTCTTGGATTCTTTCGGATTCTGTTGTATTCTTTTCGTGTTATTTTAGAATTTGTCGGATTTTCTCTGATTCTTTCGGATCCTTTGGAATTTTTCCTGATTCCCGTGGATTCTTTCGATTTCTTCCAGATTCTCTTGGATTCACTTGAATTCTTGCAGATTTTTTCGAATTCTCTGGAATTCTCTAGGATGCTAAAATATGTTAATTAGTTTTAGGATTCTTTGAAATTTTCTCGGATTCCTTCGTATTCTATCGACTTTTCTCGAACTCTCTTAGATTCTTCCGAAACTTCTTCGGTTCTTTGAAATCCTCGGATTCTTTCGGATTTGGTTGTATTCTTTTCGTGTTATTTCAGAATTTGTCGGATTTTCTCGGACTCTTTCGGATTCTTTGGAATTTTTCCGGATTCCCGTGGATTCTTTCGATTTCTTCCAGATTCTCTTGGATTCACTCGAATTCTTTCGGATTTTTTCGAATTCTCTGGAATTCTCTAGGATGCTAAAATATGTTAATTAGTTTTAGGACTCTTTGCAAATTTCTCGGATTCCTTCGTATTATATCGAGTTTTCTCGAATTCTCTTAGATTCTTCCGAAACTTCTTCGGTTCTTTAGATTTCTTGGATTCTTTCGGATTCTGTTGTATTCTTTTCGTGTTATTTTAGAATTTGTCGGATTTTCTCTGATTCTTTCGGATCCTTTGGAATTTTTCCTGATTCCCGTGGATTCTTTCGATTTCTTCCAGATTCTCTTGGATTCACTTGAATTCTTGCAGATTTTTTCGAATTCTCTGGAATTCTCTAGGATGCTAAAATATGTTAATTAGTTTTAGAATTCTTTGAAATTTTCTCGGATTCCTTCGTATTCTATCGACTTTTCTCGAACTCTCTTAGATTCTTCCGAAACTTCTTCGGTTCTTTGAAATCCTCGGATTCTTTCGGATTTGGTTGTATTCTTTTCGTGTTATTTCAGAATTTGTCGGATTTTCTCGGACTCTTTCGGATTCTTTGGAATTTTTCCGGATTCCCGTGGATTCTTTCGATTTCTTCCAGATTCTCTTGGATTCACTCGAATTCTTTCGGATTTTTTCGAATTCTCTGGAATTCTCTAGGATGCTAAAATATGTTAATTAGTTTTAGGACTCTTTGCAAATTTCTCGGATTCCTTCGTATTATATCGAGTTTTCTCGAATTCTCTTAGATTCTTCCGAAACTTCTTCGGTTCTTTAGATTTCTTGGATTCTTTCGGATTCTGTTGTATTCTTTTCGTGTTATTTTAGAATTTGTCGGATTTCCTCTGATTCTTTCGGATCCTTTGGAATTTTTCCTAATTCCCGTGGATTCTTTCGATTTCTTCCAGATTCTCTTGGATTCACTTGAATTCTTGCAGATTTTTTCGAATTCTCTGGAATTCTCTAGGATGCTAAAATATGTTAATTAGTTTTAGGATTCTTTGAAATTTTCTCGGATTCCTTCGTATTCTATCGACTTTTCTCGAACTCTCTTAGATTCTTCCGAAACTTCTTCGGTTCTTTGAAATCCTCGGATTCTTTCGGATTTGGTTGTATTCTTTTCGTGTTATTTCAGAATTTGTCGGATTTTCTCGGACTCTTTCGGATTCTTTGGAATTTTTCCGGATTCCCGTGGATTCTTTCGATTTCTTCCAGATTCTCTTGGATTCACTCGAATTCTTTCGGATTTTTTCGAATTCTCTGCAATTCTCTAGGATGCTGAAATATGTTAATTAGTTTTAGGACTCTTTGCAAATTTCTCGGATTCCTTCGTATTATATCGAGTTTTCTCGAATTCTCTTAGATTCTTCCGAAACTTCTTCGGTTCTTTAGATTTCTTGGATTCTTTCGGATTTTGTTGTATTCTTTTCGTGTTGTTTCAGAATTTGTCGGATTTTCTCGGATTCTTTGGATTTTTTCCGGATTCCCTAGGATTATGTCGATTTCTTTCGACTTCTTCCAGATTCTCTCGTATTCTTTTCGGAATTATGTAGAAATTTTTAGAGTTTTGGTTGACCTGGATTTTTATGATTTACTAAATTTACTGAATTATTGGTAGCCAATTGTGGGTGTTAGGGTATGTCTCACGTTTCCGTGCGCCTGTCCGTTTTATTGGACAGATAATTTGCGAAACTACTGGACTGATTGTTGCGATAATTCGTCCCATACAATTGCCTTGGGCGTTTTTTATGCCTTATCTACTTCAAATTAAGACATAAAGATATCGAAAGTAGAGCGAGAGATTATATGTATTAATCACCATTACAAGCGAAAAACACTACAACTATAAATTTGTATAAATGTAAATGAAATTCCTCGCTGTTAACTGAGTAAGAGGCCTGGTATTTTTTAAACCAAAAAATTAGTTTTTCCGACTCTTTCACTCACGCCACATTTTTAAAATTTTATCCGCCCTTTGATTTCCACAAACTTTTTTGCGCCCGCAATACGCATAAAAACTTCATAAACACGTTGCAATTTCAATTTGCTGTCAGCATCCGCTTTGCCTTTTTAATTGGCCTGGCGGCGTACATCCAATAAAATCTATTACACCGCAAATTAATATTGACTTTAACCAGCGCACTCCGAAAAAACACACAAAAACCAAAATAAAATCGTCGACAGTTTAAATTTAGACATTTCAGTTACCTGATACTTCTTGATGCTATCCAGCTGCTCCCTCGTCGGCTCGGCCGCCGGCTGCGTCGGCGTCGTCGCCGCCACCGCCACCGCCACCGCCGGCGTCACCGTCACGTTGTTGTTGTTGTTCGTGATCCTGGCCGGAAGCTGCGGTGCCGGCGTCCGATTCACGATCCTCCCATCCTTCTCGACCTTGAGGTGGTCCCTAGGGGGCGGCACCGGCTTCGGGGTGGCCGCGACCGGCGGCGTCGCCGTCCCGTTGACGCCACTCTGCAACAACATGGCGGCATTAACACCACCCAAGATGGCGCACACTGGGTTAATAACGTAGTTAGTCGGTTAATGGCGCCTCCGTCGCATGCTAGACGTGTCACTGGTTTAGTTTGTAATACCTTGGAGGGGTACTTGGGGGGTGTCTTTTTCCGTTCGACGAAGTTGTCCGGGACGTCGATCGCGCGCTCCTGGTTCACGTCGACGGGCCGCTCTTCGAAGGTCACCCCTAAGAGGCGGTCGTAACCTACCTAAGGGTGCAGGGGGCGAAGTTGAGATTAAGACACAGCGGGGGCGGCGACAGGGCCCCGGGTGCACCTACCTGGAGGATGGGTTTAGGCGGCGGGTACCGCGGCGGCGTCTTGTTCCTGGCGATGAAGGTGTCGGGCACGTCCACTGCCATCTCGCGATGGGGTCCGTTGTCGCCCGCCAACATCATCACCATGTTGTAGTCCAAGTTGTCGTCCAGCTCGTCTGGCGGCTTCTTCACGGGGTCCAAGTCGCCGTCCAGCACGACGATGCTCGAACCGGAGCGTCGTCGTGGCCTGGAAAACCAACGCTAAATTTAGTGGTTTTTTATTAACGAAGTTAGGTGAGAGTGGCTATTATGTGTTCCAGTTGGCCGCGACATAATTAGGTGTAGGTATGACGGTTGTGTCATCGGACGCGGGTATTCCTAACAATAAACAAATAAATGCTTAATCGGTGGTGTTACGTAAAACATTGTGTGCAAAAAGTTAATAGAAACGTTTATTTCCACCTTACGTTTTTTTAACAATTTTAGTAACTCGTGCGTTGTTACAGTACAATTCGTTCGAACTTCAAGGTCAGCGAAGTCGTCGAAATTCTTGCAAAAATATTTTTAAAGTGGTGAAAGTTTTATTACCCTAAGACGTTTTTCACGCTACGGTGATTGTTACAAATTCCAAAAGTAAGTTTCTTCTTGTTGCATGTATACAACATACACACAATAAAGCTGAACGTAGAAATCTTGGCCAAGAAAGCATTAACTTTGCACCATGGAAAGCCATTAAAGACTGCATTAGCGAAACACACAAACTACTGAAATGGACAATGCACCTTTAAAATATTTATGTCTGTCTGTTTATTTCGCTGATAATAGTTTGGTTACAATGAATGAGTCCCACGGGATTTTTTCTCATCCACAGTTTTTGTATTCTAATATGTCTTTCACTACATTTATTTTCTTTTAATAATTAAAATCATGTTTTTGCGCTTTCTGATGCATTTTTCACGTAAATTTTTATAACAATTTTTTTACTCTATAGTTGTGAATTTTAAATAGTGGAATGAGTTCGGACGGGTTTCTTTGGAGATTTCAGACATTTCTTATTATTATTCACAAAAACATCAAAAAATAAGTCTCGTAAAACGTTTATTGGCAATCGGAAAACATTCACTAGTTCAAAACTGTAACTATAGTTCGAAACGGTCTCTCGAGTTTCGTGCATTTGTTAGGTCAGGTCAGGTCAATATTACAATTTTTGTTGAAGTTAAAATTCAAAAATTGAAAAATTGCAAATGAAAACTGAAAAATTAAAACAGGAAAATTCAAAGAAGAATTCAAAAATTGCAGTAGTGTAAAGCTGAAAAAATGAAGTTGAAAAATCAAAAAATTCAAATTAAAGACCCAAAAAATTGGAAATTAAAAAAATTGTAACATTGAAGAACAAAAAAATTGAAAAGATGTTCCTAATTATCAATTTCTTGCTTTTAATTTTTTAATTTTTCGATTTAACAAAATTCCGTTTTATTTTTCGATTTTTGATTTTTCAATTATTTGATTTTTAAAAATGTCGAGAAAATAGATGTTAAAACATCTGAATTTTTTTTTCTAATTTTCAATTTTTAACCTTTCAATTTTAAATTTTTGAATTTTTAGATTATTCGATTTTTTTTAATTTTGGATCGAATAAATGTGTTCTTTTAGTTAAAAAATCGAAAAAACGACAAATCGTGTAAAGGAAAAATTTAAAATCGAGAACTCGAAAAATTAAAAATCAAAAAACTGCAAAATTTTCAAACAAATTATCAAATGAAATATTCAAAAGTTGAAAAATCTAAAAACTAAAAAACATGAAAACTGGAATTTAGAATTCGATTTTATAAGATTTGTTTTTTTTTTCAATTTTTCGATATTTCAATTTTCGATTTTCCGATTATACAGTTGTACAATTTTCCGATTTCTCATTTATCCGATTTTTCAATTTGTCGATTTTTGATTTTCTAATTTCTTGAATTTTGGATTGCTCGAATTTGATTTTTCATTTTTAATTTTTCTGTTTTTCGATTAAAATGTTTCATTCAATTTTCGAATTTTTCAATTTCTCGCTTCTTAAATTTTAAAATTTTTCAATGTTGCTATTTTACAATTTTTCTTTATTTCAATTTCGATTTTTCAATAATTTTTCAATTTTTGATTTTTCAGTTTCCCGGTCTTCTGATTTTTTAGATTTTTAAGTTTTTCAAGTTTCCGATTTCTCAATTATTTGATTTTTAAAAATATCGAGAAAATAGATGTTAAAACACCTGAATTTTTTTTCTAATTTTCGATTTTTAACTTTTCCATTTTAAATTTTTGAATTTTTCGATTTTTCGATTTTTTTTAAATTTCGGTTCGAATAAATGTGTTCTTTTAGTTATAAAATCGAAAAAACGACAAATCGTGTAAAGGAAAAATTTAAAATCGAGAACTCGAAAAATTAAAAATCAAAAAATTGCAAAATTGAAAAATGAAAAAATTGGAATTAAAAACTGCAAAATTTTCAAACAAATTATCAAATGAAATATTCAAAAGTTGAAAAATCTAAAAAGTAAAAAACATGAAAACTGGAATTTAGAATTCGATTTTATAAGATTTGTTTTTTTTTTCAATTTTTCGATATTTCAATTTTCGATTTTCCGATTATACAGTTGTACAATTTTCCGATTTCTCATTTATCCGATTTTTCAATTTGTCGATTTTTGATTTTCTAATTTTTTGAATTTTGGATTGCTCGATTTTGATTTTTCAATTTTAAATTTTTCTGTTTTTCGATTAAAATGCTTCATTCAATTTTCGAATTTTTCAATTTCTCGCTTCTTAAATTTTAAAATTTTTCAATGTTGCTATTTTACAATTTTTCTTTATTTCAATTTCGATTTTTCAATACTTTTTCAATTTTTGATTTTTCAGTTTCCCGGTCTTCTGATTTTTTAGATTTTTAAATTTATCAAGTTTCCGATTTCTCAATTATTTGATTTTTAAAAATATCGAGAAAATAGATGTTAATAAAACATCTGAATTTTTTTTCTAATTTTCAATTTTTAACCTTTCAATTTTAAATTTTTGAATTTTTAGTTTTTTCGATTTTTTTTAATTTCGGTTCGAATAAATGTGTTCTTTTAGTTAAAAAATCGAAAAAATGACAAATCGTGAAAAGGAAAAATTTTAAATCGAGAACTTGAAAAATTAAAAATCAAAAAGTTGCAAAATTGAAAAATCAAAAAATTGGAATTAAAAACTGCAAAATTGCCAAACAAATTATCAAATGAAATATTCAAAGGTTGAAAAATCTAAAAACTAAAAAACGTGAAAACTGGAACTTCAAATTCGATTTTATAAGATTTGTTTTTTTTTTTCAATTTTTCGATATTTCCAATTTTTGATTTTCCGATTATACAGTTGTACAATTTTCCGATTTCTCCATTTAAATTTTTTGATTTTTAAATTTATTTTCTTAGAGCAATAAGTCATCTGCCAAAATCAATCTTATCTAGCAAGTACTAGCCCCGCCCACCTATCTTATTTTCTTAGAGCATATGTCATTTGCCAAAATCAGTCTCATCTTAACAAGTATTAGCCCCACCCACCCACCCTCTCTTTTCTTAGAGGATATATCATCTGCCAAAATCAATCTTATCTTACCAACTACTAGCCCCAACCACCCACCCTCTCTTTTTTCTCATACGATATGTCATCTACCAAAATCAGTCTTATCTTACCAAGTACTAGCCCCACACACCCACCCTCTCTTTTCTCAGAGGATATGTCATCTACCAAAATCAGTCTTATCTTACCAAGTAATGGCCCCACCCACCCACCCTTTACTTTCTTAGAGGGCATGTCATTTGCCAAAATCAGTCTTATCTTACCAAGTAATAGCCCCGCCCACCCGCCCCCTATTTTCTCAGAGGATGTCATTTGCCAAAACAAGACTTATGTTAGAAGTACTAGCCTCGCCCTTTATTTCCTCAGAGGGTAGTACTTGCTAATACTTGCTAAGATAAGTCTTTTTTTGGCAAATAACATATCCCCTGAGAAAATAGGGACGGGTGGGCGGGGTTAGCACTTGCTCAGATAAAACTGATTTTGGCAAGTCACATATCCTTTGAAAAAAGAGAGGGTGGGTGGGCGGGGCTAGTACTTGCTAAGATAAGACTGATTTTGGCATATCACATATCCTCTAAGAAAAGAGAGGGTGGGTGGGTGGGGCTAGTACTTGCTAAGATAAGACTGATTTTAGCAAATCACATATCCTCTGAAAAAAGAGAGGGTGGGTGGGCGGGGCTAGTACTTGCTAAGATAAGACTGATTTTGGCATATCACATATCCTCTAAGAAAAGAGAGGGTGAGTGGGTGGGGCTAGTACTTGCTAAGATAAGACTGATTTTGGCAAATCACATATTCTCTAAGAAAAGAGAGGGTGGGTGGGCGGGGCTAGTACTTGTTAAGTGAAGACTGATTTTGGCAAATGCCATGCCTTCTGAGAAAATAGAGGGGATAAAAAGAGTTATATTGAAATTATTCTATTCAGTTTTAAATTTTTTCTAAAAATTCTAGATGCCTAGGGTGAAAATTCGACACGGATTCACACACCACAAGTATAACAGTATCTTATTTTATCAAATTAAAAAAACTTTTAATTATAAATTTTGCAGATGACGTCATCAAATTTTTGGTAGAGATAATTAGCCAAGTTTTGATTAGTATTTAACCATCTACATGATATTTTTATCATATGTGCAAAATTTGACAGCAATCGGTCCAGCAGTTTCGAAGATTACGCTTCTTTAAAAAAAATATGATTTTACGATTTCCGTGTTGTGATAACCTCTATAAAGAAAGCCAGTGGCGTAAATATCACCTCCGCAATATATTTAAGGCAGACAACCCAAGGGAAAAATGTACAAATTCTCGATTTCTGAGTAGGTACATGCTTAACTTCAACTGTTTATGTTTATATTTCGAAAGAATTCGAGCGTTAGCACGTTCAGATTAGAAGCAGGAGCGGTTAAAAGAAAGTGAAATTTCGTTGATTTTATTTCCTCGATTGATTGATTAACCAGACTCGATATTTTCCCCAAAAACACTCGAAATTGCAACTACTGAAATGGACAATGCACCTTTAAAATAGCTATGGCCATGTCTGCGTTCAAAATAATTCACTTACAATGAATAAGTCCCACGGGATTTTTTTCTCATCCACAGTTTTTGTATTCTAATGTATCTCTTTCACTACATTTTAATTTGTAATTACAATCG